CGATACCGATAGATCCGCGATCGCTGAGCGCGGAATTTAACACTAGATTTACGAAACTCTTCAATTTGACGGAAGGGTTGCTCCGATTATACCATGGTTACAGATTTAGTTAATTTATATTAACCCTTTGCACTCGAGAGGCGAGCTTCAGTCACCATTTGATAAAATCTCGAAGATCGATATTAATTAATATATCAAATTTAAGATAATGTAACGGTATGCAAGATATAGAAATCAAATAGTTCTACATGTTAATTATTATAGAATTTCTTATTTACTGCTGGAAAAAATATCAGTAACTTTGTAGCAGAAAATCTTTGAACTCCTACTCATCTTTAGCCAAAAAATCGTCGAGTGCAAAGGGAATTTCTCTTTCTTAGAGAAATTCAAATATTCTGTACTAAAAATCTGATGATACTTTTTTCAGTAGTAAATATAGAATTGTATAATAATAGAATTGTAGAATTGTTTGATTTCGATAGTTTGCACACTGTTACATTACATTAAATTTGATATATTAATTAATATCGATTTTCGAAATTTTATCAAATGGCGACTAAAGGGCGCCTCTCGAGTGCAAAGGGTTAAAGATGTCGTCGAATTTATGGCAGAAAGTTTTCGACCTGCTATTCTTTCACAAAAAGTTAAATTCGATTCTTATTCTCGGCGATATTCTCCGCTAACAGCCTGCAAGATGCTTATTAACTACTAGATTTATACTCCTGCAATCTCTTGCATTCTTTTCGAGTTCCGTATCTTTCCACGTTCTCTACCGAATTCCTCCTACGCCAGAAAATTTTGCTGCCCTCTATCTCGTACGAGTGATACAGATCCATCGAATTACACAATTTTCACCCATTAAGCTGAAATTCTTCTGGAGTTCCGTACTCCTTCGCGTTCTTCAAGTTCCTCCTACGAAACAGGAATATCTCGCTAACAATTTTTCCAATTTTCTGCCACCAAGCTCCATTTTCTACACCCCATATTTAGAATCCCTGCACACGAAGGACTTTCATTGCAACGAATGATATTTATTATTAACCGAACCACTTATACCCTGTAATTTCAATCAAGCTCCATATTTTTCCACGTTCGGTACCAAATTCTTCTCAAGAGATAAGAACCAGTCGTTTTATCTCTCACGGTGCTCGGCGACTCGCAAATTTTTTCCAATCTTCCACCGTAGCCTCGATCGCCATTTAATAGAATTTCAAAAATCCCCCAAAAATAAGAGGGTAAAATTTAATAATTTTCGTTGCTAGCGAAATATTTTAAATCGATATTTTAAATTTTCTTTTCCAATTTTAATTTTAACCCTTTGCGCTCGAGAGACGAGCCTCGGTCGCCATTTAATAGAATTCCAAAAATCAGTGTTAATTAATTTATGGATAAAATAACGCAACAATGTGCGTGGAATGTCGAAGTAAAATAATTCTACGTGTAAATTTGCGTATAATTTGTTATTTACTGTTTTAACCCTTTGCACTCGGCCATTTTTTGGCTAAAGAAGAACAGGAGTTCGAAGATTCTCTACTAAAAAGCTGACGATACTTTTTTGAGCAGTAAACAAAGAATTGTAGAATTATTTGATTTCGATAGCTCGCACACATTGCATTAAATTTGATATATTAATTAATATCGATCTTCCAAATTTTATGAAATGGTGACTGAAGCTCGCCTCTCGAGTGCAAAGGGTTAAGACTGTTAATATAATATATAATTGTTTTTAAATTAAACTAATCGTTAAAGAAAAAGGCACGTGGTATCTTTTACCTGTCAATTTGACAGATGTCCTTAGAAATAGATATACAGATAGCCTCCGTAAACCTAGTGCTAACGAATTCACGCCGATTCGTATGCAAATTGCGTTCTAGCAGGCATTTTTGAGGTAGGTCGATCTCGTCGTTCCACGCGAGTGTCTAATAAGAAGGGTCCAAATCCTTCGAGTCGTAGATTTAGTCGAAACTTTTCAGGTTTGTAGATTTCATCATCTAGTTTAAGAAAATAAATATATCGCGTGGACCTGCAAGTTGTGTCGAGTATCGGAGAAAATTTGCTCGAGAGAAAAAAGCTTAACTATAGTTGGTGATTATGTCACCACGGTATTTAGAAGCAATATCAGCTAATAGATAAATACCTATCGTCATCTGTGAAAACGGGAATAATTATGCTATTCTTTCATTTCCAGAGGAAGATCATTATAAGGGCAACTACTCGATAGTTTTCGAGATATTTATGATTAGAGTTTTATTATTATCTTAATTATAGATTTATTTGGAATATTTATTAATTTATTGTTAATTAATTTGTTAGGCCACAATACCACTTGATAACTGAGCCGTTCACTGCACAAATCGATTAACTCCACTTTTTGAAAAATCGTGAATATAAAAGGTTATGACTATAACAAGTGCTTCGACACTTAAATTTAAAATTTTTCAAAATGTGGAGTTAATCGATTTGTACAGTGAACGGCTCAACTATCGATAACTATTCGGAAGAAATTTCTAGTTAAGAATAAGGAAGCTGTTAAGAAAGAAATTAAAAATAAGAAATGAAGGACTTGTAAGAGAAACGTAATCTTGAAAAATACTATAAAATACTATATTTCGAATCGTTCACGTGTTATATATTCACGATTAGACGTAATTTCTTTTAATTTTGGGTATTTAGCGTTTTATTAGATTTAAGTACTTTTAGATATTTAAGTAAAAGATATTTAAGTTAATATTTCGATACTCTGACATTCTAATGGCATTTTACCACCTCGGTATTTTCGTACATACTAATATTTTGGTATTTAAGTGTTGCAGACGTTTTCTATTATTTCAGCGTTCCGGCATCCCGATGTTTCCATATAATTGAATACACATCGGAGTTCTGATTTCTGCCATTCTGTTATTCCGATTTAATATTCTCGCATTTTAATCTTTCGTTAAATTTAACTTCTTTTCCACGTATACTGTGCAATTAACCCTTTGCACTCGAGAAGTGCCTCTCAGTCGCCATTTAATCAAATTCTAAAGATGGATGTAAATTAATATATCAAATTTACAATTATCCGAGGATGCGTTGAATATCGAAGTAACATAATTCTACGCCTTAATTTGCATACGATTTCTTATTTACCGTTTTAAAAATATCGTCGACTTTATGATAGAATGTCTCCGAGTTACTATTTTCCTGTAACGAAAAAATTCCCGAGTGCAAACTTAAACACCCATAAGTCGCAGTTGTCAGTGTTCATTTGAATTCGAGGTATTCAACAATACGAAAAATTAGCGGCTATATAAATACACTTTAGAAATTTTTTGCCTCGTCGTCGATGTTTGCATAAATTCGAAATATCTCGCAAACATCGACCAAATATCCATTATCCCTGGTGTTTAAAATTCCGCGGAGGCAAACAGGAAAACGACTGCGTGCAGGTTCGCGAAAGGTTCTCGATTCGATTGATTCGCGCAAAAACTGGACGTAAAAAGGCTATAAAAAGACCGCGAGTTAAACAGCGAATGCGTGACTTCATTTGCGAGACATGGAAAGAATAAACGCTCGTATCGTTCGAATAAATTAGCGATTTCCCGCTAACTATATCGCTCGCGTCGCAGAAGGCTTTTCGCGTAATCCGCGACAACAGGTACTCGCGTGGCGTTGTGAATATTTCATAGAAACGAGAGAAACCGCGAGAAACGGGTTCGCGGATTTGGCTTGTAATACGAAAAGAGCGTTTCGTAAGTCGGTGAAGATCGTTCCATGAGATTTCCGAATTGGCAGGCAGACGTTCATTGATTTCGCGCTTGCCAGAAGTATCGTGTAACCGCATCGGAAACATCGGTTTTTGGTTCGTTAGATCATTGTCAATGTCTATCTTGAACGCTATGTTGCACCGAAATAACGTTCCTCGGCGATGGCTGCCAATAAAAACGAATTTTCACCGAGGCGTTCCGGGCCGTGCCGCTAATTTGCATTTCAGTTGCATCAACTAATCTCGATTTTCTCGAAAGCCTTCTTCCGATTTGGCAAACTAAAGTTTAGTTTAATTCTCGATACTCTTTTTCTTTACATAAACTACCAGGATGCATCAAATAAATAAATAAAAAAAATATATATATTTATAAAGAGAAAGGGAAATCAAAGTATATTTAATTCGTCAAATAAAAAATGTGTGCATCGTAATTTCTCGAAGATTAGAGCAATTATTAAATGCACTGTATTCGATGATCTCGAACATCTTTTTCCGATTTGGTAGACTAAGGTTTAGTTTAATTCTCGATACTCTTTTTCTTTACATAAACTACCAGGATGCATCAAATAAATAAATAAAAAATATATATATATTTATAAAGAGAAAGGGAAATCAAAGTATATTTAATTCGTCAAATAAAAAAATTCGTACATCGTAATTTCTCTAATATCAGTGCAATTATTAAGTGCACTGTATTCGATGATCTCGAACGTCTTTTTCCAATCTGGCAGGCTAAGGTTTCCTTTAATTTTTGATACTTTCTTTTCTTTACAGGAACTACCAAGATTCATCGAATAAATAAATATATAGATATATAGGAAAAGAGGAACGAAAATATATTTAATTCGTCGAATAAAAGATTCATGCATCGCAATTTCTCGAAGATCAGCGTAATTATTAAGTGCACTGCATTCTATGATTTTTTCGATCTGGCAGGCTAAAGTTTCGTTTAATTTTCGATACTTTCTTTTCTTTACAGAAACCACCAGGATCCATCAAATAAATAAATAAATAAAAATATATATATTTATAAAGAAAAAGAGAAATGAAAATATATTTAATTTCTAAAATAAAAATTCGTGCATCGTAATTCCTCGAAGATTAACGTAATTGTTAAGTTCTCTGTATTCCATAATCAGTCTGGCAGTTTAATAAATTTGCCAGTGATGAAACTGACTACCATTTATCGTTAAATGTCTCTCGAGGTGCATCTGCGATACACGAAGAATAGGAAGCTCGGTGAATGGATACTCACTTTGAAGTTGCTGTATCGTGGCCTGGTACTCGGCGAGTTTCTCGTCCACGTAATCCTGACTCTGGTTGGCTATTATTTCCGCGGTGCTGGGTCCGCTGGATTCCTCTTCCGCTTGCGAGTGGTCCAGCGGCACGCCAACGTACTCGTAATCTCCGGGTCTATAGGTTCCGATCATGTATTCCGCTGGTCCACTTGCAGACGGTGACATCGTGTCGCTCTCCACTGAGCTCTGTTCGAAATGCAGGAAAAATGCAGAAAAAAAGATGAAATTATCAATTTATTAGCGATAGCACGCATGTACTGCATTTTATATTAGATAGGACAAACAGTCATTTCCTGAACTCCGCTGAGTGACTTTGAGAGATTAGATTGTTCGCGAAGATATATCTAGTCGGTCTACTCGTGTCTCTTTATTTCGTGTTTACTGTACACCTGGGTTCTATCTCCTAACCTATATTTCCGACAGCTTTGATTACTCTTTATTAACCTCGCTCTTGTGCCAAATTTTATACCTAAATTCCTCACGGACTCTATGCGAGATCGATCAGCACACATCTCGAGACTTCGTTTCTGTTTTCTAACCTGTGTTCTTGAGAAACTCGTGTATGTCCTGATTCGTTTAGTTATTCTCCCATTTTCTTCCGTCCTTTCCTAATTTTCTAGGTGAATTTTGTAATCAAATTCCTTACAATTATTAATCACAATCCTTTATTCCAAATTTTGAAACTTTATTTCTATGAATTAAACAATGTCTGTATAAAATTCGTGTACATTTTGATTCGTTTTATTGATCTATTTTCTCTCGTATTTCCCTCATTTGATAAATAAATTTCCTAATTTCTAATTCTAAGTCTTTTCTAATTTGTCAAATAAATTTTATACTCGAATTCTGTGAACTAACCAATGTCTATATGAACTTCGTGTACATTTTGATTTATTTTATTAATCTCCTATTTTCTCTCGTATTTTTCTCATTTGTCAAATAAGTTTCCTTATTTATAATTCTGATTCTTTCCTGATTTGTCAAATAAATTTTATACTCGAATTCTATGAACTAACCAATGTTTATATGAAATTCGTGTACATTTTGATTTATTTTATTAAGCTCCTAAATTCTCTCATATTTTCCTCATTTGATAAATAAATTTCCTAATTTCTAATTCTAATTCTTTCCTAATATGTCAAATAAATTTTATACTCGAATTCTATGAACTACTCAATGTCTGGAGGAAATTCGTGTACGTTTTGATTCGCTTTATTAATCTCCTTTTTATCTCTGGTATTTTTCTCATTTGCCAAATAAATTTCCTATTTTCTAATTCTAATTCTTTCCTAATTTGTCAACTAAATTTTATACTCTAATTCTTCGGGATTCCTAATCACAACATTTTATCCCAAATTTCGAGATTTTATTTCTATGAATTAACCAATATCTGCGAGAAATTCGTGTACTTCTCTATTTCTTCATTAATAATGCACATTTTCCTCATTCTGTTTCCAATTTCACCAAATTTCATACACCCAAATCCCTCTCCAACCCTGACGAAACTTCTTCGACTGCATCCTTGCAGCAAGTCGCAAGGACCCAAGTGGAATCCTCGCCGAGAGTGCATGGATCGGAGATTGGAGCTCGAGCGGTGCATTCACACCTGGCGCGCGTGTGGTAAACCGGTCGTTGGAACTTGTCGCGGCCTACATTTTATTTAGGCGTCCCTATTTCGACGGTGCCTCGGCCAGTCGGTCGCGTGGGCGTGAAAAGCGGACGATCCACGTGGCGAATTCGCAACGAAGCAGCCCGAATCTTCCTCGTGAAAACGTCCAAACTTCGCGACGATTCGCGTGTAAAATCGAATTTAGGGGAAAAATCTATCCCCGTCCACGTGTCGTCCTCGAATACCGATCCTCGATGATGAGAACCCTCGAGAAACAGTCGAGTCCTTCGACGCCACGTGAACCGAGAGGTCTCCCTTTCCTAGACGTGGTTGGCACGTGTTTCTTGATTACGACCCAATATGCAACGTTTCCCGTTTATGCGATTTCCTAGGGTGGAGGACGCGTTTAGAACTCGCTGGCTAACAGCTATCCGTGTTCACCGATCGGTTCCTGTCCATCCCGATGACTAATGAGGCCAAGAATAAAGTAGATCTCGTCGCGGTCCGTGTGCTTTCTATGAAATTCCACGTTTCCGCCATCATTCTCTGCTATGTCTTACTTCACGTTACCTCCGGCTAGTAGGAACTAGGATAGTGGAAATACCTATTCCAAATTCCCTAGTGCAAATAATTCTTGTTCCTCCTATTTCTTTTTAGAGATACGATTGAGGGTGTTTGGAAGATTGACATCGAATTGAGATGATTCTGTATTTTAAATAGGAAAAATGATTGGAAATCGAGTGCGATTTTATGACAAATTCCCTAGCGTCGATACACCCCTTTGGTGATGTAATTGACTCGAATTTGCGATCTTGGTATCGAATACAGTAAGACTTAGGCATACTAATTCCTCCTTGAACTAGCTTATATAGATACGCTCTGTTTTTCGAAGGTTTAATTGGTTAATAAAAATCTTTACAGATTAATTTCAAATACAGGATGAAATTTTAAATTCCCTGCTAATTCTTCAATATTTTTACAGATAAATTCCTCGCAATCGATAGAGCCTGATTCAAACAGACTTGGCTGACAAATCTGTGTTCTATTACACTATTAAATTCGAATTACATGAAAACTCTATATACAGAATTTCTAATACTGTCTCTGCCAATTTCCTAGTACCAATAAACACCTGGAAATCATTACCGATTGGTGTTTAAAATGACACTTACCTGAGTCGGTATATAGGGCCTGGGTGCCTGAGTTCCCACTGGGATCGGTGACGGCCACCTGGGCCTAGGGCACTGTATATATCCCGTAGGTGATCCAAAGACGGGCGACATTCCAGGTTCGGCATTCCAATCGGTACTGGGCTCATCGGGTGCCTCATTCCAGTATACGTCAAGGGTGACGCAGGATGAGCATGATGAACCGGGGTAGGAGGTCCTCGAGCTCGCTGAGGATGCGGTGAGCCCGTGGGACTGAAAGGGGAAGGGGGTCGGTACTGGCCAGGCACGTTCGGTCTGCCAGGCCAACCACCCCCTGGCCCGGGTTTTCCATGGGGTTTTGACGGCGGCTGCGACATCTTTGGCTATTTCGAAGCTCCTAGGGGCGCGCTTCGATCACCTAGCATTGCTGTAAGGGGATGCAGTAATGCGTCACTTAGCTGTTTTCGTACAAAAATCGATCTGAATTTTCATAGTGATAAAATGAATTATCTTTTAACCCTTTGCACTTTGACATATTCATCGTTTGTTTAATTATTATTTTCACCGTTTGTTTTAATACCTCGAAATTTAACCGTTTGAGTGCCACGGGTCATTATTGTTTCCCAATCGATATTTGCCAAGCGGCGCGATAGCGCTTGTCATATTCCGTGTCCAAAAATGCCGAGCGGCGCGATAGCGCTTCTCATATTCCGCGTTCACCAACCGAGCGCTCTGATTGTCAGCTTCGCAGCTCAGAGCGCTGGCACTTTTGGACACAAAATAGAAGAAGCGCGATCGCGCTGCTTGGCACTCAAACGGTTAAGTAACTGTAGATGAAGTATGGAAATGATATACATTTGCATCTTTTTATTTTAGTATAAATGGTATCACCGAGGTTAGAAGCATAAGGAAAGCTTCGAATTATCATGTCTTTATGGCGAAAACATCTTAGAGTGCAAAGGGTTAATAATTTTTAGAGTCTTATTTTATAATATCGAGACATATCACAAAGGAGAGATGGGTCTTTCAAAAATTTCTTAAGTCATTGAAAATTTGGAGAATTTGTATAGTCGACAAAAATTTTGCAGTTTTCGATACGTGAGAAATACATTGTAATTTTATCCAGAATAAAGGTATATTAAATTTAAAAAATCGTAATTAGGGGGATGTAATATCGTATCATTTAATCTCTTCATTCTTCTCGTTTGAAAATATCTGAGAATTTACGCGATAATAAAAAGAATTACAGTGTCTGATTTTCCAATATTAAGGAATTTAGAAAATTTCTATAACCAATGGGAATTTTCAATTTCACTATAACCAAAGAAAATTAAAATATAAAAATTCGTATTTAAGGGGATGCAATATTTGCATGATTTAACTGCTTCGTTGCTTTCGTTAAATCATAACATAATCGCCAATGAAAAGCGAATTGTTTGATATCTTTTACTATCCAATTTCATAAAATCGCGAATACCGATGAAAATTTAAATACATCAAAAATAAACCTGGATGTTATTAAAATCACAAAAATATCGATACGAAAAATCGGGTTTGAGCGGATGGAATGTTTCGTCATCCCGTATTCCCATTAACTTCGCTAACGAACCGATATACCTGAATAAATATCAACGATAGCAACAGAGAGCGCCATGTCGCAACTTTCGGTGTAAAATAAAATTTCGAAAATTCCTAAAATTCGTGTACCCCTCGAACGAGTACCGATTTTATCGAGAATAAAAGCGCATCGACGCGCCGAAAACGCGTTGTGCCGCAAACGAGGGAACTAACGTTGCAAATTAATTGGAAAAGCGATAAACGATCCATCGCTTACGTGGATCGAAATTAAAGAGATATCGCGTGGAAGTTGAAGTGGCTTCGACGTGTAACGAGCTCTGGGTCGCGTAGTGGCAGTGAGTAGGCAGATTAGGATGGGCAATGGTCCAAAATTCTCTCGAAATAGGCGCTTCGATTGTCTGCTTCCCGCTGACTTGTGCACGTTACCGTGTGAAAAACGTGTAACAGGACAAATCGCGGCGCCGTACGTGACGTTACACAATGAGAAGAGGCGTGAAGTGCAAGCTGCGAAATTAAACGTGACCGTTATCGTCCTCGCCAATTCCCTTTCTCTTCCTATCCACCGAATCTCTTCTACACCTCGATGCGACGTTAGCCTAACCGGCAACAACCTCTTCTTCGCCTCGTTAAGCCTCGGATGCTATACACACCGCAAAACACGAACGTAAACATCTCTCAAGCGCGGATCATCTTCCACGAACTGGCGTCCATTTCCCCCCTGACACCGTCATCACAGACGATTCTCCAGAATTCACCAGAAACGGATAAGAGGATCGAGATTGCAGAATTTCCCCGATTTAACGGGTGCCAGATACGAGGAAGTTAGGACTCGATCGCACGGGTCGAAGGTCTAAAGGCTTTTGGCTGGATATCGAGTGTAGGCCGCCTAAATATAACGAGAAATCTATTTCAGAGCGACTCGAGCACTGCCCACAGACGTGTCCGACACGGCAGGTATATTTGCAACGACTGCGTCAGATATTTCAGAAAGTGACGCGAATATTAACACCTACAATTAGCCTTGCCGTGACACGCGTCGGTGCATGGCGCCATCGCTGCTCGTAGCGCCACGCGTCCGCGAGGTAGCTCGCCATTGCTATCCGATCAGCCTCGAGACAGAGGCGCCCTTGTGTTCCCCTCTCGGAGAGAGAAAATATAAGAAACGCGAGGAGAGAATATAAGAAACGCGAGAGAAAGTGGAGCGTGACGACCAGCGTTCAAATTTTCCCGCGTTTCCTGACCCCGTTTCCTAACCTCACTTCTGACTCCGACAAGGTGGACCTTTTACGCCGTGTCGCGTCCCTTCGATTCTTTTTTAAACCCCGAAGCGGAAGTTGGTGGCTTGTGGAAATAAACAGGAACGAGAGGGCGAGGGGAGATGATGCAGGGAGACCTGGAGAAGCGAGAAACACGGTTGGCCAAAGGCACGCGTCCATTTTGTTCTTGTTAAAGTTCACGAGCGCCATTACGAGCGACAGGGATGCTGGACGGGTTCGTTCCACCGATTTTAATAAAGCATCCGGCGGAATCGAATGCCATGGGCTATTTATAACACCGCCACTCGACAACGATAAGCCTCGTATGTACGAAAGCCAGGTGCACGCGGATTCCTGCTTTGAAACGCGGGTAAAAATAGGACTCGTCTGTCGTCGAGGATGGAGAAGAATAAACTTATCTCTCGGTTCGGTGTATCCATGGGGATTGTCCATGGTGACGAATGGGAAAGCTGTTTTCTCGTGACTCGACAGACAGAAGATTCAGCCAAAGAGAAGAGAAAAGGAAAGCAAAGAAGAAACGTGAAGAAAGTGACGGGAGAAAGGAGCAGGCAGTTAGCTCGCTGGATCCTGGACCTCGGATGCTGCGTCCAAAAATAAAATTACCGCCGAATTAACGAACAGAAATAGTCTTCGTTCAGAAGCGATGCTTTTGACACAGGTTGCTCTATAAGGTGCCGGTTAGCCCCGAGGATCGTCGAGCGACTGGAATTTTCGGCTGCGAAAATCCGCTCGAGAGTCTCTCTGCAATCCTCGGCTTTACTCCTCGCGAGTTTCCTTCGAAACCGTAGAGTAGGAACTTCTGCTAAGAAATCTCTAATAACTCTAACTCCTTCGAGACATGTCTGACGAGATCCGATCTGAGAAATTATCGCGAGTCTGCGCAGAGGTGGTCCTCGATCTCTGCTTAGATCCTGTATAGACGATCTAGAAGTAGGATTTAGAGAAAGTAAAAGGAAACGATACCGAAACGACGTGGAGCCGCAGACTGGGGCGATGATCGGAAATCCGGTTGCGAAGGTTGAAAGCAGGCACACAGTGATAGGAGAGAGCGCGTTCGGTCGATTTTCGTTCAAGCTTCGCGTCGGCGAAGTTTCATCGGAGATCGTCTCGCGTTCCACGACTCGGATTCGAAACACTCTAGCTGGGTGATCGAGATGGATCGCGAGGATGAGCCGCGCGGACGACGGGTCGGTGAGGTCGGATTTTCGTGGTTCGGTCGACGACGAAGACCACGAAGAGACTGGTCGGCCGGTTGGTTCATCGGTCCAGGAGCCGCTTGCCGCGACATTTATATTTAACTTTGGCGTCGCTCGAGCTTTCGGCTTCGGCTTACCACTCGCGCGAGTCCGCTCAACGCTCCCGTTCTACATTTCCTCGTCCCTTTGCCTCGCTTTCCGCCCTCGATCGCGATCATCCCCTTCCTCCCGCTCTCCGCTCCACGGCCTTCCCGACGCGCTTCCGTTTTATTATCGGCGCTGAGGTAAGATCGCGAGGATCCTCCGTGTTCCTCTCACTCGCTCCTTTTACCGACTTTCTCCCTTCTTTTCGAGTCACCATCATCATCCCTCGTCGAATCTTCCAGACCCTGCCGCAACCAATTTTCAATCTTTTTATCTCGCTTTCGATTTTTTTCTCTGTTTTTTTAGATCTTTTGAAATTCCGTTTTGCGAATTTCGTGTAATGCTGCCACGAATTTGCAATTTATTCGCTCCTTTTACCGACTTTCTCCCTTCTTTCCGATTCACCATCACCATCCCTCGTCGAATCTTCCAGACCCTGCCGCAACCAATTTTCAATCTTTTTATCTCGCTTTCGATTTTTTTCTCTCTTTTTTTAGATCTTTTGAAATTTCGTTTCGCGAATTTCGTGCAATGCTGCCACGAATTTGCAATTTATTCGTCTCGATTTTGATCTTTCTCCCGATCCTTTGAAATTTCGTTCTCCGATTTTCTTTCAACTTTTAAACTCCCTTCTGGATTTTTCTGTCGATCTATAAAAATTTTGTCCCGTCCTATGACTCAACGAATTTTCAATTTATTCATCCCGCTTTCTATTTTTTTCAAGTCTTTGAAATTTCGTTCTCCGCTTTCCTTTGACTTTTTCCCCGAACTCCGTTCTGGATTTTTCTTTGAATTTTTAAACCTCGTCTCGAATTTTTATCTCATTTTCTAATTTCGTTCTCCGTAGTCTGAATTTTTAAACTTCGCTTCGTATTTTTGTTTTTCTAAATATTTAAATTTCGTTTCAAATTTTCCTCGGATTTTTAAATTCCCATTTTTGGATTCTTCGTTAAGTTTTTTAATTTGTCTTTGGATTTTTCTTTGAATTCTTGTTTGGGATTTTGATTCTATCGAAAAAGAAGTTCGAAACGTGGTGTGAACGATGAAAAGGAGAAGTTTGCGGTATATCAGGAAATTTTAGGTGGAGTAATGGACGGGTTATGAAAGTTTCGATGCGATTTGGATAAATATACCGCTGAAAAGAGAATGAAGCGAGTTGGAGACGTCGCCGGAAGTTGACAGCTGGTGACAGCGAGGTCGCCGTGCGCCTTGACCTCTTTGCGCTTACCGGACAATTTATTTCCATCTACTTACAGGGCGCTTATTTTTCTTTAATTCGATCCCGGCTTCGTAAATACGTGCCCCTGTCTCGTGGATATATTGGAAGTTTTATTCGCGAAAGATTTAGATTTAGTAGCGTCATTTCTAAAGTCAGATTTTTAATGATTCACACTGCACGGTCCAGTTCTTTTGGTTCACGGTGGATATTTATATAGCGACTTCTAGATACAGGTATGCGAGCGCGTTGAATTTATCATAGTTGATAATGCAGTTTCCTTGAATACCTATCGTGAGTCCATGAACGTCTGCGGGCAACAAGGGTGCAGGTTAACGTGGAATTCGAGAAATGGTGACACGAGAATTTTCATGGAAATGAACCGCGAATATTGTAGATTTCTACTGTAGAAGGTTACCGACCGCCGGTAATGTCTCACCACGAATGATCGTGGAATATTTAAATATTTTTTCACCGGAAGTCAAACATAATTTAACGGTAAAATACAAGGCTATTAATTCTGTTAGGCTATTAATTTCAGGCTATTTATTTTCCATTCGATAATGCAACATTTATTTTCGCTCTTTGGAAATTTATAATAAGCTCGTGATGTAAATCAGAATGCACGTTTCATCCATTTTCACATCGTGAGTCACGATTGTCGATATTATAAGAGAGGCACTTTAGCAATTTTAAATATAAGGTTAATAGAGTTATGGCAGTTCTGGTAGTCGCGTTACACGTAGCTCGCAATTGCGTAAATCATAATATACATATGCAACGAACGTATAAATAGCATATCTTAACGTCAAGAGCCGAAAATATTGATATTGCTTTAACACTTTATGAAATTTTATGCGAATCGTAAAATCCGAACAATGTTACGCAGAATATAAATTATGGTAATATTCCTTTATGTATATGACAACACGTGGTACTATACACCGATGCAAATGTATATTACAAATAATTACAAATTTGACTCGTAAATTAGACTAGATTATAACTTTTTGCTATCCAGCATATCAGCAGAAGACTAATTTGCATATAGACCAATTTAGACAGTATCATAATTCACTTGACACTTTGACACTGGAATTTCCAATAAAGTAAAAATAAAAAATTATTAATACCTTAAAATATATTAATCACTATCATCTATGTACATACATTCACATACATTCAAGTGCACGATTTTTGCCATCAGCAAAGAAATTGCAAAATTGTGAATAAATATTCCGATATTTTGCCACGAAATTTTTCACCTCGAAACGAGAAACTTCGTATCCGAAACGTGTTTCATGTATCTATTATATCGGTGCCTTGGCGTAGGAGCAAAAACAATGGTATTTTCGAGATAAAATAAATATTCTTTCTGCCGGCGATTCGCGGGGAAAGTTTTACGAGCATCGAAACGCATCGATATTCCCGTGTATTCCGAGGTGATCCGTTTGGAAGCTTCGTGGAAGCTCGGAGAACAGGGTTTTTGGCTGTTCACGGACGCCGTGATTGCGATAAGGAATCGCGAAGAATTCGTAATCCGCGGGTTAATCGAGGGCCGGCCAATAGTGGGCACCTAGTCGCGGTAAAAATATTTAAACCCGGTGGGCTATGGCATGCTCGGAATTTCATCGCCTGGTTCGGCCAGCGGATTTTACGGGGCCGAACTTGGCGATAAGCGAGCTTTTTCTTGCGACTCGGGGCTCGTTCGCCACGTAATCTTCTCGACTTTGCGTTCTCGTTAAAGGAGAGAGGTCGAGTCGACACGTACGTCGAGACGCCAGTGCTCAAAGGGAATAGGGACAGGAAGAAAAGAAGAAACGAAGGGGAAGAGGAATAAGAAATGGGGAAAGAAAGTAGGGGTGAAGAAAGGAGGAAGAGAGGAAGGTTTGCAGAAACGATGGATTATGACGTGAAGGGGGAATGAAGAATGGAGAACGAGAAATAAAAAATGGGTAAAGGAAGAGAAGAAAGGAAAATTTGTATAATCCATGGATTATAATATAGAGGGAAATGAAACGAAAAATAGACGGAGAAAATAAGAGAGATGAAAGAACGAGGAAGAAAAGAGGATTTTTAAAATCAAGGAACTGTAATGTTGAAGAAGAAACGGAGAACGAGGAATAAAAAATAAAAGAGATGAAGAAAAGAAGATTTTTCGAAACTACGAATTATGACATCAACGGAAAGAATGGAAAATGAGCAATAAAAAAATTGAAGGAAGAAAAAGAAGACAGGAAAATTTTTAGAAATTATCAATTATAATATGAAGAAAAAACGAATTATGAGATAAAAATAAAGAATGGAGAACGAGCAATAGAAAATAGAAGGACTAACAAGAAAAGAGGAAGATTTTTAGAAATGATCAATTATGAAGAAAAACCGGGGAATTTTTCTAAAAAACGAATTATGAGATAAAAATAAAGAATGGAGAACGACCAATAGAAAATAGAAGGAAGAAAAAGAAGACAGGAAGATTTTTAGAAACGATGAATTATAATATAAAGAAAAACCAGAGAACGAGAAGTAAAAATTGGGAAAAGGAAGAGAAGAAAGGAAAATTTGTATAATCCATGGATTATAATATGGAGGAGAAAGAAATGAAAAATAGACGGAGAAAATAAGAGAGATGAAAGAACGTGGAAGAAAGGAAGATTTTTAGGAAGGATGTATTATAATGGGACGAAAAGACGGGGAAGACGGAAATAAGAAATAGAGCGAGGAGCGAGGAAGAAAAGGGAGATTTCCAGTAAGGAGTGTAGAGTAAGCAAAACGCGGAGGTACCGAGCATAAAGCTTTCAGCTTATCGACGAGGTTTTTCGAGCCGGGCGAGGAGTATTATTTCTGGAATGGCCGGTATATCGTTCTCGTGCGACGATCATCGCGATAGAAATTCGGCGTCGTAAAGTTCGGACGCTAAATTGGCGCTCATAAAACCGTAAACTTCCAGGAATATTCGGGATCGATCAAACTTCTCCCGACAACGCGTATCTGTTCTAATTCCCGGGATATTCTTTTACATGCAGTAAAGGGACTTGGGAATTTCTACGATTTCTACGCGATGTGCACGGATATCCAGTAACGCGAATGCTTCTGCTTACCTTCATCCACGCCTATGGAACCCTTTTATTCGATGGGGAACAGGTCCCATTACGGGAAGAATGCTGGGTAAGGACGCCATTACGAGTTCCCGTGGTCTCTCGCAAGCTTCCGCTGAATTTTGACACTTTGCTGACTCGCGATTTCCGGCTAAAATCAATTATTTCGAATTTTTCTCAATCCTCAGCGTTTCGCTATTTATTTATTTATTCTTTTAATTGCTTGTGTGTTCGTTTCCACGTTTCTGCGTTTATTTATTTATGTTTATTCATTTATTCATTCATTCATTCATTCATTCGTCCGCTCATTTATTTATGAATTTATTTGAGGAATGACTCTTTGATATAGAGTGTAGTAGACTGAAAAAGGTGCACAGACGAAAATAAAAATTAAACAGTAATAATAATAATATGGTAATAATAATAATAATAATATAAATATAATATAATAATAATAATTATTATTTATTTATACATTCATTCGTCCATTCATTTATTTATTTATTTATTTGAGGAATGACTCTTTCATATATAGTGTAGTAGACTAAAAAAGGTGCACAAACGAAAATAA